TTTGGCAGCTGATGTGACTTTCCATTCGGTCTCAGGGGGACGCCAAAGATGTTTGTAATTATATTATTATAACTGGATTCATGATAGCAGGGTTTCTGCTTTTATGCATGGGAGGGTCCCCATGTTATTAACTTTTGAAGAAGGCATTGGCAGCAGTTTTGGCTATTGCAAAGCTTTCGCATCAGTGCGAAGGTTTGATTTGTGCTATGAGTACTCTAAATCAGCTGATTTACAAGCTAAACCATAAGATGGAAGCGATTTGTGAGAATCGCAGGCCACCCATGGCTTCTAGGACTCGCCAGCATGTTGGAGTGGACCTTGAAGAAGGCTCACAGCATGGACCAATGGAATGCCCATAAATTTGGCCATTTTGGATCTGGAAAGTACCAGCAGGACTCAAGGCTGACAAGAAAAAAACAGTCTGCCTGAAGAAAATCAACAATTGTGGCTAATCTGAGTTTGACTCCCCCGTTTGGCCTCGGTTGCGGGTCGACCATCAAATTTCTCCTGAGACATAGGTAAACTAAGGAAAAAACTTAGTCTATTGCACCTCCACCCAATGGCTGCACCGAGAAATTCTGTCCATAAAAGTTATGAACAGAATCTGAGACAATGGGCAGTCCTGGAGGAGTCCAACTCCCACCCTTAAGGGGTCCAACTTACTACCGTCAATGTGAACCAAACTTTCGCACCGCTTGTATAGAGACTGAACAGCCTGTAGCAATGGGCCCCCAATCCCATGCTCATGGAGCACCCCCCACAGTGTACCCTGAGGAACACGGTAGAATGCCTTCTCCAAGTCCACAAACACATGTAGACTGGATGGGAAAACTCCAATGACCCCTCTGGATAAAAGACGAAACGTCCCATCCAGAGGAGCTGACTCCACCTGGTCAATTTTACCTGCCTGTTAGGATTTGTGTCAGGAGCGAACCCAGAGTGCAGAACAGGGACTCAACTCGGCAGAAATACAAAAAATAGGATTTTAATGATAAATTAAAGTACAAAATAAACAAGCTGACGGGGCAGCAAAACTTACATGAACATAGGAAGGAGGCACGGGGAACTCAGGAGACACGAGAGACACAGGAAACTCGAGGAACCAGGAAGACTCAGGGAAAGACTCAGGAGACCCAACGAAGACGACCCGACGAAGAACAAGACAGAACGGGCGGCTTAAATACAGGGACAAGACGAGACGTGATAACAGCTGGGACGAGACACAGGTGGCAATAATAGAACAAATGAGGGAGCACAAGGGAAACAGACAAACCGGGCCACAGAAAAGTACCATCCTTACACTGCCTGGATTATTGTTCAGCTTCAGAACATCTTATAGATGTTTGGTAATTATTCTCTGTAAAACACGGCAGCTTGAATTTATCCTGTCAGTGCACAACTTAAAGAAACTCTGTCATCTCAGGCTGTCTGTAGTAAATGTGAAGGAAACTTTAAAATCATTTCATTATCTTTGAAAGACAAGGACGACAGTGATTTGAGTTTAATCAGCTGTTCATTAAAGATTTGCTCAGGCTGTAATAAAACCCTCTGTGGGGAGCTGATGTGATCTAATGCAAGAAGGCAGCCCACATCCAAGAGATTATCAGTCAATTCAGCTGGATCCTGGTTCTGAAGGCTTGGATCAGAACCACTTGAAGTGAACGTGTGTTGCTGTAAGCTCCTGCTGCTCACATGCTTCCTAATCTGTCTCAGATGAACGCAGTTGACCTGATCTGGTTCAGGGGAGAAGCAGGGAATAAAGAAGAAATGAATCTGGTTCTTTTCAAATGGTTTGTAATCTGAGCAGGCTCTCTGCTGGAGTAACAGTCCTCTTGTACATCGTCTCTACAGAGATGGATGTGTGAGCATGTGCACGCACACAGCTGGCCTTACAGACACGTCAGGCTTTGACTGATGACAGGAGCGGCCACAACATGATGGCAAAGGGAGAGAACTCAGACCATCCCTGAAAAATCAGAGGGTCCCATGAGGGTCAGACCTCCTTCTCAGGGCTATCGTTTATCCTTCAGCCTGCTGAACAATGGCTGCTCCTGTGTGGGAGCTGGAACTGTTCAAGCTGCTCTCCACCTGTCTGCACAGCACCTGTTGCTTTTTAAAATGAGATGTGTGACTCCATAAAGACTCAATCAAGACTCCATCAGGACTCAATCAGGACTCCATCATGACTCCATCATGACTCCATCATGACTCAATCAAGATGCCATCAGGACTCCATCAGGACTCCATCAGGACTCCTTCAGGACTCCATCATGACTCCATCATGAGTCCAGCATGACTCCATCAAGACTCAATCATGAGTCCATCATGACTCCATCAGGACTCAATCAAGATGCCATCAGGACTCCATCAGGACTCAATCAGGACTCCATCAGGACTCAATCAGGACTCCATCATGACTCCATCAGGACTCAATCAAGACTCCATCAGGACTCCATCAGGACTCAATCAGGACTCCATCATGACTCCATCATGAGTCCATCATGACTCCATCATGACTCCATCAGGACTCAATCAAGACTCCATCAGGACTCCATCAGGACTCCATCAGGACTCAATCAGGACTCCATCAGGACTCCATCAGGACTCCATCATGAGTCCATCAGGACTCCATCAGGACTCCATCATGAGTCCATCAGGACTCCATCAAGACTCCATCAGGACTCCATCAGGACTCCATCAGGACTCAATCAGGACTCCATCAGGACTCCATCAGGACTCCATCATCAGTCCATCAGGACTACATCAGGACTCCATCAGGACTCAATCAGGACTCCATCAGGACTCCATCAGGACTCAATCAGGACTCCATCATGACTCCATCATGAGTCCATCATGACTCCATCAGGACTCCATCA